TCAGTAACATGTTGAGAGCCTCGATCCTCGGTTTGATGTCCTCCCACTCGGAAGACACCACCACCACCGGCTTCACGTTTCCCCACGGGAGGTAGTAGTAGTGACAACCTGGAATACACACACACACACACACACACACACACACACACACACACACACACACACACACAGGAATGATTTCACTGTATATTCCACATGACCTTTCCCCTCTGACTTGAACCCACGTATGTACCATCGAACACCGCCCTGCTGAACTGGGTGGTGGAGGCCAGAGGGAGGCAGGTGTAGTCGAACTTGTTGCCGTAGTTACCGATGCTGACCTCGAACTGGATGGCATCGTCGACGTCCTGGAGGAGCGTGGCCGAGTAAAACGCCACAAAGAGCGAGTACTTCCTCTTCCGGAGAAACTTCTGTGAGACGGAGGAGAGGATTAAGAAAACAATGGGCGGATGGTCGGACATGTTGACACGTTGACATCCTCTGTCGCTCTCTCACCTCCACCACCAGCAGGTCGTCTGACGGGATGTCTTCAGTTCTCTGCTCCGGTTTGTCCACCAGCTTCGTGGTTAGTTCAACTAGAACTCGTCCTCGGTACGCTACACCCTCCCCCTGAAGAAGAGAGGACGTTTATTCATTCTTCATCTATTTAACCAGATACAATATCTGTTCTGTCAGGGAGTCCTGGTCAAGATGAAGTAAATAACACACACAAACATACTGGAATACATTAGAAACAAAGAATATAAACATATCTAGATAAATGTTGTATTCAGATAAAAAAGAGAAAAAGAAAATTAAAGGTGAAGTTACTTTTCCGAGGTTCAGATTCTCGTGCGGGTCGTTGAAGGCGGTGAACTCTCTGGGGCTGCCGTACAGGTTCACGAAACACGGACCGAATGTCGGCAGGAAACCAAGACTGTCGTCGACTGCAAGGACACAAAGTGGAGACGGTGTTTTACGATCGACACGGTGGAACGTGAGACTGAAGAAAAAATTTAACCAAACAGGATTATTTGATTCGTCCAAAGACACACGATCAGACACTGAGAGATTTCAGCAGAATTTAGCTTTGATTGAAACCGGAGTTGGAAGAAGAACTGACTGACACAAAATAAGAGATTTGTAGAGAGGACGTACTGCCAGGGTGGACGGTCCGCGGAGTCAAGTCATCTGGATGCATAGAGAGGAAGGACGGTTCAAAGTCAGACAGAAAGGAAACAGATGTCTTTGAAGGCCACGTAAACCCAAACCGATGCTCTTGGCAAACAAACACCACAAACTCACCGCAAAGTCATGCTCCTCGTTTCAAATATGAGACAAATGACCAAATCAAGATTTTCCACCAGAAAAACGTTTCTTAGCTCCACCAAGGAGGTTGTGTTTTCTACCGTGTGTCTTAGTTTGTTAAGATGATTAAACCAATTAAAATGGATTCATCTCCCAGATCACAAAGAGAAGTCGCTCCGTGTTGTCTTCTGTGCACCTGAGTGTGAATGCAGCAGGTGAGAGTTAACACAACAGCCAACACTGTGATGTTGGTGATGATCTGCATCCCGGCTACAGATGTGATGCGAGAAGGAAGAAAGAAAGAACCCAAAACGAGTTTGGTAGCAAAAGACTCAAATCAAACCAAACGGGTTACACATGCACCCCCACTGCATCCTACTCCAAACCACTCTGTCCACACCAGTTCAAACCAGCTCAGACCAGTAACTCACCATCTATCTCTCCTCCGGGGGCGGAGATCTTAGACATACAGAGGTGGGTGGTGCCGATGACATCGTTGTGACTGGCTCTGTCCCTGGAGAAAAGACAAATTCGAAAAAAACCTTCTGTTAAAGGCTGAAATAAAATGTTTTATATTAAATCATAAGTAATTGATCCTAACATTCTGCTGGATTTTATAAAACCAAGATTTTAAAGAATGTTAGGATTCACCAGTCCAGAATCCTGATCCTCATCTTCTCGCACATGGAGGGAAACTGGGGAAGAAAAAACAAAACCTTCACTGCATGAAGAACATCGGATCTCAGAAGCGTTCGCTCCGCAGACGGTAAATACAGATGGACGACGCGTCTCCACTTCCACTCCACATCGAATAACTAATTAAAAGTTTCAAAATTATCAAATGGCGTGTACTCTTATTTTTTTGGTTCAGTCCTTGAGCCGTCCACCAACATGGAGGAGGCAAGGTTTATAACAAACTGCAGCCAACCACCAGGAGGCGATAGAAGCTTTATTTTTTTTGAGTGGCCGTCATGTCGTCCATCTTTACGCACGGCCGATGTTGTGTGTGTGTCTCACTCTAATGGGCATGGCCAGACTCTGGTTCCACTGTGGGTTGGCGTTCTTCTCCAGAATCTTCGTGCAGATCTGAAAACAAAACAAAGAGAAACTCAATCCGAAACACGTTTGAAGAAAACGATGTCGTCGGAGCGAAGCTGCTTCGTGTCACACGCACTGTTTTGCCGGCAAAGTGGATCTCAACCAGAGGGTCCACCAAGTTCTTCCTGTTGCTGTCAAACCCAAGAATGTGCTTCACCCCGTCCATGAAGGCATCGTCCACTGTGAACGGAAGACAAACGGTGAATCTCTACTTCGGAGCTCGAGTCATAAACACACAAAGACCTGTCGTCTCACTCTGCGGCAGATCTTCGGCTCTGAAGATCCTCAGGGTGAAGGCGGCTCCTCTCAGGGACAGACCGGCCGGCCTCAGCAGGTTTCCTTCGATGTCCTCTTTGTCCTCCACACACTCACGTTTATCAGCCTGGGACACAAACAGAAACACGTACGAACATAATAATAAGAAGAAGAATGAAAGAAAGAATTCATTATTTTGGGAGACAGGATTATAATTTTGGACACTCACCGGTGGCTCGTCTCCAGCGGCCAGGACGAGCAGGCTGACCTTCAGGTAACCTTTGACCCCCGCAGTGAGGTCGTCAGGGTCGCACAGCAGCAACCATTTCCTCAGGAAGCAATGTCCTAAAGATTCAAAGATTTAACGTGAGATCGATCTACAAGCTAACCTGTAACGTGATGGAACCAAACACGAAAAGTACAAACTTGTCCCAAAAACTAAATATGAACTTAGCTTATCGCAAAAACACAACAGCACAAATCCCCGAAGACTCACTGTACATATATACTTGTACAATAAAGAAATACTCACTGTGCTCATTGTAGACGGTGCCGACATCCAACTGTGAAGAATCAGAATTATTTTAGAGTTTCTGTTTTTGTCAGTCGTCATATTTACAAGTTACTAAAAACACAGCGACGGCGACAGTTTACCTTGAATTCACCGATCACAGCATCAGTTCGGAGAGAGCGAGAGTCGCACACCTGCAGGAAGAGAGAGTTCATATTCCATTTATCTATTTCATTTGATAATGAAGGTATCGTGAAATGTAAACGACAATCACTGGAATGAAATGAAAAGTTCAGACTCACGGTGATGAAGATGGGTTCATCAAACAAGTCTGACGGCGTCTCAAAGAAGTTCAGGAAGAACGTCTGTCGAGAGAAAAACACGTCAGAGTGGTAACATCCACGCTGATGACTTTTAAAAAACGATTCGATGTTTGCTGGTTCGTTCACCTCATCAAACACAGGGCTGTTTCCTTTTCTGATGCGGGTCCTCTTTGTCTGCCCGGCCACTGTTACCTTGACAACAGGCTTGATGTTGATGCCCGGCAACTGTCGCCCCTCGATGACCCGCACACGAACCTGGACACGGAGACGCACGAACAGAAACGATGATGCAACACGTCACAAGTCGTCTGTCACTGCGTCACGAGGTGGTGAACCCACCTGCAGGTCCTGAGGTTTGTTGGGCAGAGGCTTGTGCTGACTGCTGGCTCCCCTCCTCTTCTTCCTCAGACCTCCCTGCGCGTTGTAGGACGGCGGCGAACGCTTGGGCATGTGGTTGGTGGTGGGAGACTCCTTGCCCGGGGGCCCCTGAGGGCCCACGACGACCATGGACCGCCCGTCATCAGGCCCCTGGTCCTCTGTGGGCTCCAGCATCATCAAACTCTCCGTGTCCTCCTCACCCAGCGTGTCCAGGGAAATCACTGCAGAGACACTGTCCGTTAGAAACTAGTCCCCGAGGAGGAACCCGACAAACCCGACGTCACAGATTCACTGGTTTAATGTTTTCAGGTGGAAATGTTCATATTCAGTTAAATTTGAATGTTATTTCACTTGTGACCGTGTCCAGCTCCACAGTGGGGTTGTTGTGGGGAAGAGGCTCAGGCTGCGAGGGAGGCTGGAAGAGGGGGAGCGATCCTGGAGGAGGGATGTAGGAAACCTGAAGGGTCAGCGTGGCCTGATGGAGACATGGACACACATGTTTAAAAGAGAGTTCTCGGGGTTCGAATCCCAGACGTGCTGCGATGGAACATCCAGCCTCAGAGGGTCACGCCTGTGATTTCATGTCACGCCTTCAGTGAGCAGGACAACACGGGATACATGAGCATTCGAACGAAAGCCTTTAATTAATTTTAGCACACAGTCTCATTTCAAGCATGTTCTTATTTTTTATAATTATATTCCAATGAATATGTTATTTGTCTTTAAATTGTTTTATCGTGTTTCAAACTTCCAGTGAATTCATTTTGCAAAGTGCTGCACACGTGAAGTTCATTATGTTTCTAACAGTAGGAGTTGTCGTCTGCAGCTTCCTTCAACAGGAAAACACAGCTTCAGTGATAATTAAAAAACAAAGGCTTCATAAACACACTGATCCTTCACACAAACTCAAACCTTTTCGAAACAGAACGTTATTCACAGTGAAAAACAAAAGTTCTGTCTGAGGCTGCACGACTTAAGATGGATGATAAAAAAAAAAGAGGAAGAGACAGAAAGATGGAGGTGAGGGTTTTACTCTATTTTCAGATCCAGACAGGAAACGGTGAGTGATTTATGATTTGTCATTCCTTCATGATACAATGAGGCCGTAGATTAATGTGTGTGTGCTGTGTGTGCTGTGTGTGCTGTGTGTGTGTGTGTGTGTGTGTGTGTGTGTGTGTGTGTGTGCTCACCCCTGTGTTGTTTCTCTTGGTGTCCAGCAGGGAGATGGTAAAAGAGGCGGCCAGGCTGGGAGAGTTGATCACGTCTCTGAGAGCGAGTCGACATTCTCCCAGGAACCTGAACAGGAAGTACAGACGCTTGGTAGTTTTAGTTTCATCCTGCTGATAAATGAAACGCACGTAAAGGGTTCGACTTTGACCCACACTCCGCCCTGACGGCAAGTTTCAGTTGAATCCTGCTCAAACCGCAGAGGTCACGCTCAAGGTCGGAATGCACCATGAGAGCCCGATGAATCAATCAATGAGGGAACAGAAACACGAGGGAACAGAAACACAGCGACCACAATGAAAGGATGAACCGATTCTCTGACAATGCCTCGGTTCCTATCTCACTTCCTGTGCTGAGAGCGAACTGACTCAATGGATGAGAGTTCCTGAAGAAGCAGGATTATATTCTAGGTTTGGACAAATGTGTCAAACTATAACTTTGTGTAAACGTCTTTCTCTCTAGTGACTCCACGTGTGTTTTCACCTGTTCCTCCCCATCTTCTCATGGTCTTTGACGACACAGTGCAGCTCGGCTCCCGAGTCCAGAGGAATCCCCTTCAGGTCCCATTCAAAGCCCTGACGAAGACACAAACATCAGTGGAAAAGCATGAAAGTCGGATTTTATAGGGAAGAAATCCTGACGAATAAATCACAGTTTCCACAGTGGTGAGGTTCAGGAAGCTGCAAGAACAGAGGCAGGGCCAAGAGAAAGGGTCATGAGGTCGTAAAGTAATTAGTGTGGAGCTCTTCTCCATCACTGATCTGTTTCTGATTTTTATTTTCACATTAAATATTCTTGATTTCAGCTTTTCTGACCATCAGAGCGACGTCATTCGTCCTTAAGATAAAACGTTGTCTAAAAAAGAAAGTGTGCGCAGGACGTACCTCGTTCCAAACGGGATTCGGGTTGTTCTTGATGACCTTTGTCTTCTTCTTGGACCCTGAAGACACCAGAACACTAAAAGTCAATGGACGCACAAAACTAACAATTGCATATGAGGCGTGTGGGTCTGAAATGTGAGCGGACTTTAAATCCAGATTTAATAACCGTTCCCACGTGAAAGATTTTATTTCTAATGTCGTTAATTCATCAGTAAACATGAACTGGACCTGGACGAGCAGATGATCCACGGACGCTTAAAATGATAATTAAATGTTTTTATAATTTATTTTAAAAAGTCACATTCTTTAGTGTTTGTGTGTGTGTGTGTGTGTGATCTCTCGTGGCTTCCTGTAACACAACGCTCTTCGCTCTGATTTCCTGTCTGTCGGACACTCAAGGATGCGAGGACGTAAGAACGAACCAATAAACTGTCAGGATTTAACATTATAATGATGGATGGGAACAGAGACAATAACTATTGTCTGATTTTAGAAATGACTCAATAGAATTACGGCTGGAAAAATATTATAGTGAATAACAGCATCGAATAAACGTTCGCACCGGCCTCGATTGAATTACCTCCAACAAACGTCACTATAACGTGACCTCTGAACCCTCCTGTGGAAGGGCGGAGGCCTTTTTTAAAAACTTCCAAGAACAGAGGTACACTTCCGCAGGGGTGTGTGTGTGTGTGTGTGTGAGAGAGAGTGTGTTCTCACTGGGAAAAACAGGAAAGCAAACAACTTTTCTTAAAGTGTGTATGGAGAGAAAGACATTTTTGCGTGCCTGTGCGTGTGTGTTTTCAATGAGGAGTGTGTATGTGTGTGTGTGTGTGTGTGTGTCAGCAGCTGATCTCTGATTTAACTCCTCGGACGCACCAGCGGTGGCACAGTGTTGACTTCCTGCTGGGTTCAGCTTGGCACCATTTCTGTCATGAGCTCAGAATAGAACGGACTGTGCCCCCCCCCCCCAGGGCCGTGGAACACGTTGAGGGGAAACCTAAGTTTAGACGGTTCAGCACCGAGGGGCCTGATGACTGTTTGAGTTTCTCAGCTGGTTGAAACAAATAAATGAGTTCCAGTTAAACGTCAAAAGCTAAAAGCAGCAACACTGATGACCACCGCTCAGATGTTACGAAGGAATTTGAGAAAATGTTTGAATCGAAAGGAGTTTGAGCCGAGAAACAACTTTTGTCATTAGGACTGAAGTTAACGACAAAAATCCACAAAAACTAAAGAATAAAGAATATAATTCTACTCATAATAATCAAATATTCGCAATTACTATATGTTCTTTCATCCATGCATTAATTCACAAAGCTCCAGTGATTCAGAAATCAGATCTTGGATTGTTGATGAATCGAAGTGCGACACATTTGTGCGTCATCACCGATATTCAGACAGGTAGAGGTGGGGGAGGGTCGTGTGTGTGTGTGTGTGTGAGTGAGTCCTAGGTTATAATTAGCGGAGGACGGGGGGGCAGCAGCGTTGCCAGTTTTTATTTCTGGTTTTGACAAAGAACGACACACGGTTCCAAAGAACAACACCGCGGCCGGAAATCCTGCGTTCAGCACAAACAGCAGCACATGGCGTCGCATTTTAATCACATACACACATGCTGCACGCACGGAGGGTCGATGACCAACTCTCTAAAAGTGCTAACACTCTAATGGAACCACGATGAGTCCCAATCAAGCACCTCTCTGATCAGAACCAGTGGAACGTTTGAAAGGAGGATGTCGTTTCAGCTTCAGCAGCTTCTGTAAAGATGATGTGCAGCGACCGCAAAAAGAAAGTGTGCATCCCGACCTCTTCAGGTTAATGTGATTTTATATATGTCATCGAACTTTCTTCATTTCATTGGCAAAACCTGTGTTTACCCACAATGCCATGTCAAAGCAGCTGTTTTTACTGATTTCCTTGGTGGAGACATTCAGCACATATTCAACTTCTAACAATCAAACATTCATCTCTCTCTCTGACGTCTCTCTCTCCTCCCACAGCGTCTGATCATCATCGTCTCTTATTTCTATAAAAGGACATCACAGTGTCTCTGAATTCCTCAACAACCCAGAGAGCACAGAACACCACCCAGCACGTTCACACTGGGGCAAAGCATTCACTCTATTTCACTGCCCTGCTGGTCCCGGGGCTGGTTCTGGTTCTGGAACATTTATTTTTTGCTTTGGTGAAAGGGTCCTGCCCTCACTGACGACCCTTCAGTTTGGGTAAGAAGGTCCTCAGAAATAAATAGAAGCCGGTGTGTGTGATGGCACCAGGAAACCAGGCTCGGACAAAGGCAGGAAGTTGAGAGCGGCGCTCACCTTGTTAAGGAGGCAGACAACGACTCGTGGAAAGTACAAAAATAAACTGGTGGAAAAACAGACGCTCATCTAGAGTCACGTCAAACTGAAATCATCTACAGGGAAACGAAAGTTAGATCTTCAGGGTCAACCTGTCGGAGGTCTTTGTCCTGTCATCTTGGAGTTTGTGACACTGACGATATGTTTTACTGCTGAAGACGAGTCCAGCTGCAACCTTCCTCTCAAAGCTTCGTGTTCTGGCCTCAGACGTTTTCAGAGAAATACCCGGTGTACACAGTCAAGAGACGAGATGATGGACACCAGAGCTGCAGCCACAGATACAGCTTCACTTACAAACAACAGGGGACATGACACCACATCAGTGATGATGTTGCCTCGTCACTGTTCCACGTGCACCCGAAAGATGACTGGTGAATTTCTGCTCTTAGACTCATCTCAAATGTCTGAGTTCACTGTGCCACATTACTTAGCCTCCTAATCCCCCATGATCCTCTTACCTCTGAAGGTGACCCCAGCCAGGGGGTCAGAGTGTCTCAGGTTGTTGGCTCGTTGTAGAACACAACGTAGCATGGCCGAAACCTCGGGGGGGTCCGAAGACTGAAACCTGTGAGGTTAAATAACTGGGTTCACCGGGTGAGGTCCAGAACGAGCGGGCGGTCGGTTACATGACCGGAGGAGCTAATAACCAAAGACCACCGAAGACTGGACAACCACAGGCCACCAGGTGGAGAAAAGAGAAATATTGATAAACTCAAGTGAAATCTTAAAAAAACCTAAAAGTCCTCGTGTCGTCTCAGCATCGTAATCCACAGACAGACGTGTCCTTTGTCTCACAGCATCGACGTCCTGAAACTACAAAATGAAAGCTCTTTGTCTGAAGAGGAGACGAGTCCCGACGACGCCGGCGTCCTTCTCCCTCTGATTCTCTCTCTGGCTGAGAACATTTCACACACACACCTCACATCCAGAGGAAACCTCTTCATTTCCTGAGCTCTTTTCCTCTCTTATCTCCTGGTTGTGCCCCCGAGTTTCCTGCATCCTCGCCTCGCTCGGCCAGAACATCCCTGCCTCTCTCTCTCTCTCCTTAAATCAGGTTATTTTAAGAGGTCAATCTGTGTTTGAGCATTTTATCCACTGATTGAAACTGTAGAAATAATTTAAACAAAAAATATCTTTGAATTGAACCTAGAAAAAAATAATCTGACTGCAGTAAAACCTTTGGAATATAACATCTGTTGAATCAGCGCTAATTGAAAAGTTTAATTTGCTCCAAAACTCAAAAGCAGAAACTTATCGATTGGCTCAAGGATTCAAAACTAAAGCCTGACATTAAATTTAAGGACTCTTCAAGGCCTCTGGTTAAACTTGTGACGTGACCTATAAAACTAAACGATCACTGAGGTGTGTCATTAACGATCAAACGAATCCTGAGGTTTCCTTCAGCCTGAGAACAAAGAAAAAGTTTGAAATATAAAAATCTCCGGACCTGGAAGTATTTTCCCTGAGTTGAAAAACAATTAAGGGATTTCAGGAAAATGGTTTTTTGGGCCTCAACTGATATTTTCAGATTCTGAGAATAGAATTCAAAGTCGACCCTCAGGATCCAATCAGGAGGGGGCAGCAAGGTCTCACCCCCCCTCCACACACACACACACACACACACACACACACACACACACACGTACAGTGAGAGTGCCACCTACAGACACACATCATGACATACAGCCTCATGCTGGGTTATTGACAGTTAATCTAACTAATATTAAATATTAGTTATATATTTTATTATAGAATGAATAAATGTAAATATATCATCTATGAATATATATTGTAAAGTTGTTTATTCTTATATATTAAATATTGTATATTTGTTGCATAATGAATGTATTTCTGTATTTTTTGTATAGAAATAGATATTTTGTATTATTAAATATTTATGTTTTTTCTTTCTCTATATCAATAAATAGTTAAATGTATAATCATGTATAGTATATATATGTGTGTGTGTGTGTATACATTGATGTTTGTGTACATAGTATTTCAGATATGTAAAATATTAACAAATTGTCCCATGTGCTGATTTTAGTTCTTAGTGGTTAAAATTATAACCAATTTACAAATTTAAGCATCAAGAAGTTTTCATCTGTCGCCATTTTCCCTCTCTGCTGGAGGAGGGAGTTTAATTGACATGTGAGTCATCGTTTGTTTCAGTTTCATGTTCATCCACACACAGAACTTTACACAACGATTCATCCATTTTTATTTTCTGTGTTTCCACTCAGCTGTGTGTGTGTGTGTGTGTGTGTGTGTGTGTGTTCTGTGCTGGAAACACAGCAAGAAAGAGAATGAAGGGAAAAGAAAAGAGCCCAGAGAATGTGGTATGTGGATGAATGGATGAGATAGAGAGAGAGAGAATCCCAGAGGGTAAACTGTGCTGGTATCTATAAACACAGTGAAGCTTTACAGGACACACACACACACACACACAATCACAGACACACACAGACACACACTTCCGTCTCCATATTCAGTGCAAATAAACTTTCCGTCTCATGTTTTATCTCTCAAATGAAATCAGGTTAATCTTTTTTGGAAAAACGTGAACAGTCTCCATCATCACCTCTTCTTCTCCTTCACTCTATGTCTCCCTCCCTCTCTCTCTCTCTCTCTCCGCCCCACCCCAAACACACACTCAGACATGAGAGACGACAGGCCGAGGCTTCCAATAATAACCTCTCAGCTGTTCCAGAGACTCTAACACACGAACACACACACACACTTCATCCGTCATCTCTCTCTCTCTTCTCTATCAGTGTCATAGTCTCTCTCTCACACTCTCTACCTTCATAGATGACTTGGCAGTAGGCGTCACTGATGTCGTCGTCCGGCGTATGCAGACGCTCTGCACACAGGATAAACACACGCAGCATGGCTCATGCACATTCACCTGTACACACACACAAACACACAGGTCTGTCAAATCCCCCCGGCAGCGAGGTCCATGTGAGCATCAATGCGTCCGAGAAATATCCTCAAGACGATCACAGATCAAGAACAGGAAAAAAAAAAAAAGACAGAGAGAGAGAAATGGACGAGACCCACAGAGAATGAATAGGGACTGAGAGAGAGCGAGTGGTAGAGCTGCAGCTCTCAGCTGTTTCTCTCTAACACACACACTCACCCCTGTCTCTCTCTCTAACACACACTCAGGGTAAGTAAGGTGCACTAGCTGACTCATGCACACACACACAGTCCATTCAATCGCAACTGGTTTAAAGGGCCAGTAACACACACACACACACAC